TAAAATTTTGAGCATCTATTAATAAAATTTTTAATGTTTATGGGGAAGTTGCCATGAAATCCATAAATTTCCAGAAGTTTTGATTTAGAAGGTACATTTTGTGTTCTGAAGAGACATTTATATTTAGAAAGGAAGGGAGGGCAGGAGGGAAGGCACTGGAAATTTATTTATAAATTTATTTATTTATGCAACTAATCATGGAGCATACTGGAAGAAATAATTCAGTCAGGTGAAACATAGGCGCCTTCATGACGTTCAACAAATCGAATTTTAAGGGACATTGTTATGGTTTAGGTTAGGTATCCCTTAAAAGCTCATGTGTGAGACAAGTCAAGAAAGTTTAGCAGTGGGATGATTGGGTTATGAGAGTTCTCACCTAATCAGGGCCTTAATGCTGGCTTGTCACTCCAGGCAGGTAGGGTGTGGCTGGGGGAGGTGGGTGACTGAGGTTGTGACTTGGGTTTATATTTTGTTTTGGTGAGGGGAGTGCACTTGCGCTCGCGCTCTCTCTCTCTCTCTCTCTCTCTCTCTCTCTCTCTCTCTCTCTCTCCCCTCCCTGAGGCCATGTCCTGAGCTGTTTCCCCTTCTGCCAGGATGTTCTGCCTCTCTCATGCACAGAGCAATGGAGTTGGCTGTCTAAGGACTGAGACCTCTGAGACTCTGACACATAAAATTCTCCTCCTCTAAATTGTTCTTGTCAAATCTTTTGTTCACAGCAAGAGAAAAGCTGTCTAAAACAGACCTTTGAAAGATATACCAAAGCTTAATTTTAAGTTATAAAGGACAGTAAAACTGTTTTATACATTTTTCTACCATTCTGTTGAAGAGAACACTATGCGAAGATATTGTTCTGGCCCAGAGTAATATCTCAGTAACAATAAAAATCATTTTGAGAACCTATATTATGTGACAGGCCTGTGTTAACTGTGTTATGTGAATTAGGTCCTTCAAATAATGTAATGTGTTATTCCTAATTCCCAGAGAAATAAATAAATCTTGAGGCCTAAAAAGGTTGCTATGTTCTCCAATGCCAGATTCCTCAAAAAACTAGGAATGGAACCACAATTTGACCCAGCTATCCCACTCCTTGGTACATATCCAAAGATTTTAAAATCAGCATAGTACAAGTGATGCAGCCACATCAATGTTTACAGCAGCTCAATTCACAATAGCCAAGATGTGGAACAAACCTAGGTGACCTTCAACAGATGAACAGATAAAGAAAATCTTTGTGACATTTGCCAGTAAATGAATGGATCTGGAGATGATTACACTAAGTGAAATAAGCCAGTTCCCAAAAGGTAAAGGTCAAATGTTTTCTCTGATATGTGGAAGCTAACCCACAATAAGAGGGTGGGCAACAGAAGTTCGATAGATCAGATAAAGAGGAGTGAAAGGAAAAGGAAAGACAGTGGAATGAATATGGCATAACTTTCCTACGTAGCTACATGAATACACTACAGTGAACCCCACCATCATGTACATCCACAAGAATGAGGTCCTATTTAGAAGAAAGTGTATTCCATGCTTGCATAATTATATCAAAATGGATTCTATGTCATGTATAACTAAAAATAAACTGATAAAAATAATTTCTCCCATGTTGTAACAAGAAGCATTTAGTGCAGTCCTGATTCCAACATAGGTGGTGAATCAAGAGCCCCTGCTCTTAAACATGCTCTCCTGCACTTGGAGAAAGATGGGCCTTGGGGTGAAGTGACACATAAACACACAGGCACAATCAAATCATTAACAAACCAGGAGATTTCAATATCAGGAACTGGCTGTTTATTGAGAATACACAGAAACAACACTATGTGAGATCATCACAATTAGTGTACACTTAAGTGGAAGGCATTGCTTGTCTAAAAATAGATGCAATTGGGGCTTGGGTTAAAATCTTTTACACAAGGTGTTTACATCTGTTATTTCCTGAAGGATCTGAATGCAACTCTGAATGCCCTGTCGGAGGAAGGGTTGACAGGCAAGAGTCTTATTTTCCCCGTAAGTGGCTGGCCATGTATTTTATGTGTCTAATGAAGGCATCCACCATGTGATAGGCTTTCCAGAAAGAGATCAGCAGTCAGGGATGGCACAGCACATGGGGCGGGGGCAGGTGGAGATGACACAGGTGGGCCGATAGCAAGTGGTGTGGCAGGAGACATTGCCACAGACTGGACGCAGGCGGCAGCAGGTCTGGCAGCAGCAGGAGTCACAGGAGGGGCGGCAGCAGCTGGAGATGCAGCAGCAGGGGTGGCAGCAGCTGGAGCCACAGCAGCTGGACCCACCAGAGCAAGAGGGGCGGCAGCAGCTGGACACACAGCAGGGCCTGCAGCAGCTGGGGCGGCAGCAGGTGGTCCTGCAGCAGGTGGTCTGGCAGCACCTGGGCTGGCAGCAGCCATAGCCCTGGCCAGAGCAGCAGGAGCCACAAGAGGAGTTGCACATGGTGTCAGAGACTGGAGGTTCTGGGTGGGTTTCCAGGAGGGTGAAGTTCTGGAGTTTAGAAGTTCTCTCCTGCCACTGCCTCTTATATAGGGCCCGCTTTCCTGTTGTTGAAGTAGTTTCCTTGTTTTTTATTTCCTGAATAGCTAAGTAATTATCCGATTACATAATGATGTTTGTCTATTTAATGGCTTAATTTGTTAGGAACATAATTTTCTGTCGGGTAGTAACAAACTCTACCCATCTGTTTTTCCTTTTGACCCCACTTGTTGACATCTTCCAGACCACAGTCTCTTCAACTCCCCCACCGAGGGCTGGCACCTGCTGCTGTGTGTCTGGAATGACACTCTTCACTCTCTCCTCCTGAATCCCTTGTCACCATGGGAGTTGGTCAGTCACACTTTCAGTTGTGCATTTCTTCCACGGATGGAGAGGAAGCCCATCGGCTTCATATGTCATCTGCTGGGACCAGAGGTAAAGGCCCTCTAGGTGGGTCACTGTTCAGCAATGAGGAAGGGAACTGCTCCAGGTAGGTGTGATGCTGGTGACCTCTGCACCACTGGAATGGGTTTCTCTGGATGTTTCAGACTTCAGATCATGCTCTACAGCCTTCAATGCTGACAGGCAATTTCTCTGTGTGGTTAGTGTCACAGTTTCTTAAATTCCTGCTTTGAGGTCTTATATGTCTACATGTCTCTCCAGCTGCTCTCTTAAATTCTGGAACACACAGCCTTATTTTTATTTCTCTGTTAATTTTCATTTCTTCAGTGGAAGAAAGTCTTTTGAATATTCATCTCTTCAGAACTTACTTCCAGAGCAACTTCTTACTTCTGAGAAACCCATGACACAAGTTTTTTGAATCAAACTAGAATATTAGTGAATTTTAGCAAATTTCACCTTATTGTATTATAATTTCTCGTATCCTCTATTGAGTGTTAGTTTAACTTACACATGTATCAAAATGATCCAGAGGGCATGTGAAATACAGATTGCAGGGCTAATCAGAATTTCTGATTGTTGGGAGGAGGCTCAGGCCCTGCTTTTTAGCAAGTGCCCAAATGCTGTTAATACTAAAGACCCGCTGGGCACTGTGGTGCACACCTAAAATCCCAGTGACTCTGGAGGCGGAGGCAAGAGGATTGAGAGTTCAAAGCCAGCCTTATGAACTTATCGAGGCACTCTTAACAACTCAGCGAGACCCTGTCTCTAAATAAAATGCAAGAAAGGGCTGGAGATGTGGTTCAGTGGTTAAGCACCCTTGGGGTCAATCCCGGGTACCAAAACAAACAAACAAACAAAAAAACCTGAAGATTCAAGGTCCAGGCTTAGACTACAGCTCACACTGTCCATTAAAGCTTTGCAATAAACCACCTAGATCAAGTTCCTGCCTTGTTTCTAAAATAAATTGGTTGAATAGATCATCTGTAAGGCACATATTGGTGTTAGAAATATGATTTAGAGTCTCCTCCCATAGAATTCAGTGTACGGGGAGGACCACACACACACATAATTGTAATAGTGTATGGTGAAGTAACATCAAAGAGCTCATGACAGTGTTATTTCATGAAAAGTTTTGCTTAGAGCAAATTAGCTAACATGCAATTTGGTAGACATATTCCAAAATTAACATTTCTTGTCATTTTTAATGTTGTATGATTAAATAAAATTTACATACAGTGAAGTATACAACTTCTGAGTGTACTGCTGTTCTTGCTGTTTGTTTTTTTGTGGTACTGGGGATGGAATGCAGGACCAGGTGTCTGCGAGGCAAGTGCTCTGTCACTGAGCTACATTTCCAACTCCTAATGTGAACTATTTGGTTTTGATAAATGAATGCATCTGTGTAACTTTCCCACTGATCAAGATGGAGAACATTTTACATGACTCTAGAAGTCTCCCAAATGTCACTTCAGTAAGCTCCACCAAAATAGAGGCAGGCCAGTGTTGTAATACTTTTTCTTCATGATTTAGTTTTGTTCTAGAATTGAAATAAATTATACGGAGGATCATTTCTTTTCTGTCTTTAGATTGGCATATGTCTGGGAGAGTTTCTGTGTTGGTGGATAACTCACGAGTTCATTCAAGCAATACTAATGAACACCAAGATTTCATTTTAATGATTCCTAACAAATTAGATCATATGGTCATCAACTGAACTGATTACCTAGGACTTACGGAGTTCCCAGAAATCAGGAATCTCTCAATACAAAGAGTAGGAAAGTCCAAGGAATACAGAGACAAATTTTTCATCCTACAATGACATCTTTAAATTAATTAGAACAATTTAAAGAGAAAACCCCTTGTGACATTTTTATCACATGAACATTCCTAGCAAACACTTGATTTACTTGTTCTTATTTTATGATTTATGTTTGCAAACCTAGAAAACAGGAAACGAAACAGTCAGGTGCTGAGGCCAGATTGCATGAAAAAATGTTTTGAAGACCACCGATGCTGAGATTAGGAACATGAGTGTCTTAGACTGGGTGCCCCCTGGAAAAGCCCATCATACAGAGGATTGAGAGCAAGTAGTTTACTTGGTAGATAAGGCCAGGAAACACTGTAGGGAATTTGGGAATTGATCCTGGCCAGTGAGAGAAGGCCGTAGAGAGTAACATAGGAGCAAAACACTCCTGGGGGCAGCTAAGGTCCAGTCCCACTGAGGACCTTTGGAGGACTGCAAGGACTCACTCAAGGGAAATTCAGTAGAGTATCTGTGCACCAACTCCCACTCACTGGGTGAATTCTGTTCCTAGAAGTTCTTAACCCTTCTGCCAGAGCTTGCTCTGCATCCAAAGTCCTTAGGCAAGAGATACAGGTTTTGGTCTTGAAAGCATCTCTCTGCATCAGGAATGCTCACAGAACAGAGATTGAGCACCTCAAATTATTTGCTCTGATCCCATTCCTTACAGATGAATTACAGAAAAATAGACAGTAAGAATGATAATTGAAGAGGAAAAATAAGGAGACACGATGCCCTTATTTTTGTATGGCTGCAAAATTCAGATTTATTTAAGATGCAAGAATATCTTCAGATAAGAAAACATGGCAGAGGACAAACATTTCCAGAGGGATGACATGGTAGTTGACAGGTTTTAGAGAAAATTCAAACTTGTGTTCAGTTGAGAGAGAGACAGTAACCTGTAGGGAAGAGGGGAGTAGTTTGCAGATCCAAATCGGTCTCAGCTGGGACTTGACCTCTCATGACTGGGCTCTCGCAGATAGACTACATCAAGAATATTGGCTGAAGTAGGCAGGAGAGTGCAGGTTAGAGCACTCAGCAGCAAGATCCACTAGAGCAGGCTGGAGAGCAACAGGAGGGTTAGCAACAGTAGGGGCGGCAGCAGGTGGACACACAGCAGCTGGGGCGGCAGCAGGTGGTCTGGCAGCAAGTGGGACGACAACAGCAAGTGGGACAACAGCAGCAAGTGGGACGACAGCAGCAAGAGCCACAGCCACTGGAACTACAGCAGCTGGAGCCACCACAGCAGGGGCTACAGCAACTTGAGCCACAGCAGCTGGGGCTGCAGCAGGTTGTCCTGCAGCAGGTGGTCTGGAGGCAGGTGGGGTGGCAGCAGCTGGAGCCACAGCCACTGCACCCACCACAGCAGGACCCATAGCAGCTAGGGCGGCAGCAGGTGGTCCTGCAGCAGCTGGGGCGGCAGCAGGTGGTCCTGCAGCAGGTGGTCTGGCAGCACCTGGGCTGGCAGCAGTCACAGCCCTGGCCAGAGCAGCAGGAGCCACAACAGGAGTTGCACATTGTGTCAGAGACTGGAGGTTCTGGGGGTGTTTCCAGGAAGGTGGGTTTGGAAGTTTGTTGGTCCTATATCCCCTTTTATACCCTGCTAAGGGGCAGCTGTCTTCACCTGTAACATCCCTTTCCTTGTTATAGTTTTTTTTTAAGTGATTATCAAATTAAACAAGATTGATTTCCTCATTAAATTTTCAAGATGCATTGAAAACATGATTTCCTTTTTCTGATTCATCTATCGGCTCTTCCAAAACTTTCTTTCTATAGCTTCTTCAACCACAGGTGTCATATGACATTCTGCCCCCTGGTCTTGTATGCTTCGTTCTCATTTTGTCTAGTATATCATGACTACTCTTGGGTGATAATGATTCATATAGGCCCATAGTTCTTTCTGGTGATCCAAGAGGGTAACTTATGCTTGAGTTGGATGGTTCATTCATTAAAGGTCTGATGATCCACGACTTGAATGTGAAATGCAGATCATTTGCTCAAATTCAAGTCCATTTGGACACATCCCCTTCTCTACTGTAATCATAATCCATTTTCTAGACATTTTATGGGCATCCTGAACTGTTTCAAGGTGTAAAAGCAAAGGATAAAATTTTATTTTATTTTTCCACCAGAAACAAACCTGGAAATCATTTTTAGGGCCTCTTTGGGGATGTTGGCTGCAGAGCTTAGCTATGCCGTAATGTACTGGGGGTATATTTTCCTTCTGTCTTTGACCATCTCTCTTTTTGATACATATCCACAATTTCTAATATTTACCTGCCCAACCAAGCGGGATGACCCAGTGTTACTGCCTTGCTATGGTTTAGATATAAGGTGTCCCCCCAACCCCCGCAAAGCTCATGTGTGAGACAATGCAAGAAAGTTCAGAGGTAAAATGACTGAGTTATGAAAGTCTTAACGTGATCTGTGCATCAGTCCACTTGAATGGGTGAATTAAATGGGTGGTAACTAAAGGCAGGTAGGTTTTGGTTGGAGGAGACAGGTCACTAAGCTTGTGCCTTGGGGCTTATATTTTGTCCTTGTTCTGTGGATCTCTCTCTCTCTCTCTCTCTCTCTCTCTCTCTCTCTCTCTCTCTCT